GAGCTATTGAAGTGTGCTGTCTTGTGAGTGACTTGAAACAGACGGACAAGCAGCAATTTCGAATAGACGTTCATGAGTATACCGCCATGCAACACAATAGACTCTAGGGTATGATTGAAATTACGATTCTGGTTGTTTTGATGCGAACCAACGGTGACAACACGGGTTTGATGCTACGCGTCGTCCTCAGTCTTGCCCAAATCTCTCGACTGTGATCGTTTCGGAGAGTAAAAGAAATCCAGGGGATGACAGTAAAAAGACGCTTAAAAATGTTTCCCTTAATGCTCGTGGACCACAGAGGAGTGATGGCGGGAGATCAAGGCTGTTACGTTGTGAGGATAAATCAGAAAAGTCAACAGACAGTAAACAGCTTTTACACAATACTAAAAGCAGACTCCAAGCACACACACACACACACACACACACACACACATGCAGTGTCTACCACGTTACATCCCAACAACATCAGTCAGTCCCACTGTTGTACTGGGACTTGGTCTGTCTTTACTTATTTACTGCTCGCTGTGTTAGCCTTTGCTCTGAACAACTTTTTGCCCAGCTCACATATTGTTTTGCTTTTCCCTGTTGTCTAGCCCACCCTCAAGCACCTGCAACAATATCCAACTCCCACACACGAGCGTCTTGATGATGGCGTTCAGTTCATCCACCTCTAAACACCACGAGCTCGGGCTGAAAGTACAGCGTCCCTTTTCAGCAGCCTGCAATCAGGGAGAGGCAGTGAGCCGAAATCGTGTCATTGAGGCTAATTATGGGCAATTAAAAGCCAGTTGTCTGTTGCACTGACATTGGCTGAGGATAAAGCACGGCGCGCCGTCTGTTCCTTCGTGTTGCACGGGTTTACTAGGGGGTTTAGGGACAATATTCATCGGGAACTAGCTGTTTTCTAGCAATACCAACTGCACGCCTCGAGGACTGGCAGTGTCAGTCTGCTGCTGGTTGGTCGGTTGTTGGTGACTCGATGATCTCTTGACTTTTCTTTCAGCCGCTATAATATTTTTGTTTTTTAGTGAATGTTTCACATCAACCCTTTACATGGACTCTCATTAAAATTTCACATGTATCACGTTCATTTTCCTGTCAGAATAGTTTGGAATAAGTTGAACCTCTGACTTGCCCATTTTTTATTTTTTATTTTTTGGTTTCTGATGAAATACTTGCAAAAATAATGACATTACCATCATTGGTTTTTGTATTTAAAGCAAACTTAGATGGTGAACATAATAAGCATTACATCTACCAGCATCAGGGTGTAAACAACGCTATTGCCTACAAATTTTTATAGATATAATTTGTATTTTGAGGTATTTGTAAAACTTTTTTTTAAATCACCATCCATATTAATTTTGATACAACCAGCTGTGGGTAACTCCTCCTTTGCTTGTGCATCAGAATACAGATTCAGCATTAAGCAAACAAAAAAAAAAGTCGCTTATGTTAAATGTTACCAACTAAAATTTACTGTGTGTCCTTGAGATCAATCAAACATGTTAAATGCAAGTTCCTGCTCATAAAACATTTGCAAAATAGATTTTTTGTTATGTACTATTTAGAATCCAGCATAGTTTCCATCCCAGCTTCCTAGCTTGCAGTCTTCTTCTTCCCTGCCGTCACTGGTGCATATCTTGGTGCATTGCTGCCACCTGTTGATCAGTGGAACATTATGGTGGCACTGTGACATCTTGCATGTGCGTGTGCTTGTGAGCATGCACGAGATAAGCAAAACTCATAGAATAACAGATCTGTGGCGCAATTTGTCTCCACAACCCCACAAAGACCTTTTAAGCATTTTAAATCCACAACTGCTTACAGCTTTCTTTTTCTGCCGTTGTTGGGCAGCACGTCTTGTTGTTTGTCCACCGCTTGTATATCAGTGGAAAAGATAAGCAGAATAGTGTCGTGCGTGTAATTGTGTATTGCATAACCTACTCCAAGTGCTTACAAAAGTCTCTCACCAGTCATTTTTATAAGCCCTACGACTAATCCTTGTGTGGCAAAGTTACATCTTCATAGTTTGCTTTCAGTGATTGATGAAAACAGCTTGGATGTAACGCTGTGGCTTCATCTAGAATGTGTACATCTATGAAGTCCCTGCCTTTCTCTCCACCCACTGCTCCTTGCTGCAGCTCGAGCACACCAGCTCACCTACAACTCTGCACAAACACTGTGAAACTAGTCCACACTACACAACAGCGAGTTGTGATATTGGAGTCATTTACATTAATTTGTAGTAATGTACAAGTTTGACCCTGATTTGGAAGAAGAAGAATGAAAACGCCACCCTGCAAGTTGACAGGATTGGTTCTTTAGGCTTGTTATGTACAAAACTCTGGCTGTTTGAATCTGTGTTTTGGAGACAGTCTTCAGTATAATCCAGTTTCAAGGTGGAAATGCTCCACTATGGTGTCAATCATGTGTCTTGTAAAAAATACCATATTGACATATTACAAGGTAAAAAATAGATGATTTTAGTGTCCTAAAAAACTCTTTTTTGTTTTTTTAGTTTTCGTACAGACTGTTTGGAGCATGCTTTAACTATGCGAATGTCTAAAACCCTGCTTAGAGTTAATATGCAGTATGGATTAGGGATGCAGAGAACATCCTCTTTTCCTCATTCCCAAAGTAGCCCTTTAATAATTTCTTAAGAGCATTGAGAATATAATTAAAAGTAGTACCTGGTGGCTTAAATTAAAATCAGGTCCTTTTCTCAGCCATTGTCTCAAATTGCTGAAAGACATTTTTCAAATGCATCAAACACAGCTCGCATGCGTGCAGTTATCAAACTCCCTCCATATCCATTAAATTCATCTATTTAAATTACACTCAGCTTAAGTATTCCTGTCAGCAGCGGCTTCTCCCTCAGCTCCACTCTTCATTCCTTGCTTCAGTTTCCATTTTTATCCATACTTTTAAATTCCTCTTCCATCTCTGTTTAATGGCCCCTGTTTAGTTTGTGCTCCAGTGAAGTCATGCTGCTTTTGCTGCTGCTTTAGAGATGAGTATTCTGGGGCAGAATAAGCTGCAATATGCCTCCTATCCATTATTGATCCATAATTAACTAGAGTTCAGCAGGGTTCTCGACTTCAACGCGCTAAAATTGGCTGTGAAGTCTTGGCAAAAGGGGATGTGGCTTTGTCACAATGCTGCCATACAAGAAAAGCTGTGCTTTTACTACAACACCTGCTGGAAAGCAGCCTCACTGTGTAAACTTTTCACAGTGCTTTTGATAGTGAGTGTGAAATGACTGTAGGGGTGGTATTGATGATAACACAGGCCAGAAGTAAGAGAACCCTGTCAGCGAAGCCCTCCCCTCCTTCGACAGCCATCTGTATCACTCAGGGAAAGCCTCCTCCAGACAGCTCTGCAGACCCGCTGATCCTGATGTCTTTTGACACTGATGGTGCACACAACTGACCTTTGGGCTGTCGAGTGCACTCAAACAGCACTTGCTGCGTGTGTTTATGTCCCCAGTCTAATGAGGGTGTGCGTATCTGCAGCCAGCCAACTCCAGGAGCGAGTGCCAGGATGCAGCTGCTGCTACCAGGGCTGCAATCACAGCCTCTTGCCTGAGTCGCGTTGGGTAACTTTTTCAGCAGTGGCATTCCTGTGGCACTGTTAGGACGGATCTTCATCACATGGGCTCAGGACATATTTTTGGCAATCTTATGGTTCCTTCAGTGAAATAGCATCGGACATCTTCCTGTTTTGTAGTTTGTATACAGCCAAAACCTTGTTTTTTCTGTTATTGTATAACATTCCTTTATGGCACACATAACACATATTCCATCTTTTTTTTTTTTTTTTTTGAAGAGTCAGGACACTGGAACATTTTTCATTAAGGAAATGGGATTATTCACAGGAAAATATGGAAAAAATACATTAAGTACTGATGCTATGCTTTAAATCAGGGGACTAGAGGAAGTTTAAATCGGGAAATTGAGTTGTTCAGGTGTAAATATGGAAAGAAAACACCTTCAAGATTGTATCCTATGCAGCCAGTATTTCAGAATACATTCTAGTTTATTGTCCAACCGTGAACACTGAGCAAGAACAAGCAGAGGAGACTGTTTGCTTTTTTTTTTTTTTTCTACTCCAGGGTGAGATGGTGTGGATGTTTGCTGTGTGGAAAGAACTGAAGCAGCACTACTACTACCACTTTACCTGCCCAGACCACTCTCTGGGGGTTCTTGCATCATTAAATATTCACATGACACTCTCAGGACATCATCTTAGGAAAGGTTTACCTGGCCAACACCTGTCCAATCTTTGTTTTCCATCAGAATGTGCTTTGACATACCTCCAGTTCAGCTCCTTGGAGGTCAACATTGGTACGAAGGGCAACTGTAACTTTATTTGTGTGGGTTCGTCTCTCCAAAGATAAAATATCAGTGTTTATATAATTTGTACAGATGTAATAATAGTTTCATTTGATATTTAAGCTTTTGTTTTCTAAATAACTGTAATTAAAAGTTAATTAACTGGCTTCTGTGTGGGAGTGTTTACCATTTGTTTGTAAAAGCCAATGAAATGTGTTTGCTATTGTAAGCTTTGCTGGGATTGGGTAGCAAATGGTCAGGATATCCTGGTTAGAAAAAAGTCCTACAGAATTGAGGCACAAAAGCTGAAACCTCATTATTTTGTAACAATGACTTGTTTGGGTTTTAGTTTGGCCAGTTTTACCCACTTTCTCTATGACCGTGGATTACCACCATGTCTTGAGTCCCAATTATTCTCTGTGTTGGCAGGTGGGAGAAATCTGTGGAATGGAAACAGTTTTGTAAATTCATTGCTCTAGTGCAAGGGCAATATATAGAAACTAGCTGTAATAATCTCATTAGTGAGACTTTCAGTTTGCCAATTAGTATTCAACCTTGAAGTTTCGTACACAGACAAAAGTCACCATCTGTCAGCACAATGCAGGGGCAGCCCTCTGTGATGGTGATGTGCTCACAGCTTTCTAACTGTGTTTGTTTTGGCTGCAGGAACTTCTACTACATCACCATGCTGCGCGACCCAGTCTCCCGCTACCTGAGCGAGTGGAAACACGTCCAGCGAGGAGCCACGTGGAAGACCGCCCTCCATATGTGTGATGGACGCTCGCCCACCCAGGACGAGCTGCCCACCTGCTACAGCGGGGACGACTGGTCCGGTGTCACCCTGACAGAGTTCATGAACTGCCCGTCGAACCTGGCCAACAACCGTCAGGTCCGCATGCTGGCCGACCTCAGCCTGGTGGGCTGCTACAACCTGTCCTCCATGAACGAGAGCCAGCGCAATCACATCCTTCTGGGCAGCGCCATGAGCAACTTGAAGAACATGGCTTTCTACGGCCTGACTGAGTTTCAACGCAAGACGCAGTACCTGTTTGAGCGGACGTTCAGCCTGCGCTTCATCTCCGCTTTCACGCAGATCAACAGCACGCGAGCCGCTAACGTGGACCTGAGCGAGCTCGTGCGCAGACGGATCGAGGAGCTCAACTTCTTGGACGTGCAGTTGTACGAGTACGCGAAGGACCTGTTCCTCCAGCGGTTCCAGTTCACCCGCCAGAGGGAGCACCAGGAGGTGCGCTTGAAGAGGCGCGAGGAGAGGCGCTGGCTGCGGGAGCAGAGGGAGCAGGGCAGGCCGTGGCCCACTAAACACAGAGGAGGCGGAAACAGAGGCGGGAGAGGAGGCGGAGGAGGCTCGGAGAAGGAAACTGACAGTGATTTCCCAACCACCACTGAGGACTACACGAGCCAAGTGGCCCATTGGTGAGGCTTTGATCCCATAAAGAGAGAGGAGCAAGAGAGAGCGGCCGATGGAGACTCCTCACAGACTATTTGAAACATTTCTTTTGACTCTCTCTTGCACATCTTACGTCTCTCTTTGTGTCTCACCATTAATCTGTCTCCTGCATCTATCTGTTTTGTCAGCTTCAGTGTGATCCGAGTGCTCCGCAATCTCTTTACGAAAACTGCCAAGTCTGTGAGTCTCACAGCAGCTCTGTCTTGGAGTTCCCTTTGGTGTCTTAAATCTTTAAATGCTGTTTATATATTTTGTCATTTAATTATTGCCTTGGTTATTTATATTTTTGTTGAGTGAGACGATAAATTGAGGAGAAAGAAGAAGAAAAAAAAACAGAAGAAGCTGCTATAGATATTTTTATTTTGACATTCACTGCAAAACTGATGAACGTCATTGAATTTATTGTCTACGTTGCAACTGGCAGAAAACATATTTCAACTGAGAGTTGTAGAAGAAAAACTGATGGTTGCATGTCACACATCCACATTATACTTACAATTGGGAAGAGTGATTTCCAAAAGATATACGGAGTCAAAGTGAATAATGACCACAATGTATGTGTTTTCTGTTATTTTAAAATCAATGAAATGAAACCCTCTCTTAAGACCACATTGTATGCATGCAGTACCCATCTTTAAACCAAATTATGAAAGACTGTCTCTGACACTGATATTTTGTTTACAGTGCAATATGTATTACGTTCTCAAGTGCAGTACCTTGCAGACTCTAACACCTCTCCCGAAAGACGACACAAAGGCAGTCCCACGGCAGTCAGACGGCACGCTGCTGAACAAAATAACTTCAGCCCTCGCCTGTACTTTTTTGGTAGAACGACGTATGTGTGGTGGAAAAAGCAGATTTTGCGAGTAATTTCTTTTTGAAGTAGTGGGTTGCAGAGATAAAAAGTTGGTAAATAATACAGGTGATGAAATGTGTCAGTGTGGCTGGTATGTGGCCTGACTGTGAATGAGTCGATCAGCATTCAGCCCTCATGCCCCTCCCCGTCACACTGGCTGCTTTTACATATTTGTAGAGCTGACGGCATCTGCACTGTGGGCAGTGAGAGCGCTCTAACAGCAGCAGAGTGCCAGGATACAAAGACGAGCCTCAAAGCAGATAGACGAGAAATAAAACATTTCTGTCATTCCCTCTGCCTGATAGTTTCCAGCACCCTCAAATCCAGCTTGTTTTTTTTATCTGGTTAAATAGGCTTCAGTGGCTGTGATGCTTTTTATGTCTCTTATCTCTTATTCACTCGCAGCCCTTTGCTTATCAAATGCTCAGTAAATGTCAACACTGAAGTCGTATAGCGGCTGCTATTGTAACAGTAATTTCTCATGTTTCTTCTCTGATTGCAGTTGCTCATAAAATACCTCATGTGGCACCGTTTTGGTTCGTTTTGTTCCGTCTCGTCTGAGTGATCCGTCCAGCTGGTGCAGTGAGTGTGGCGTGTGTGGTTTGCGGTGTTTTCGAGCTGCTGGGAGGCGTGTGGGGGGCACCTGATGGATGGATGGATGGATGGATGGATGGATGGATGGATGGATGGAAGGATGGATGGATGGATGGATGGATGGATGGATGGATGGATGGATGGGGCAGAGGCAAGATGAGGTGATAACACTCAATTGTTTCAAGTGTAGCTAATCCCATTCCAGCTCTGAATATTGAATTGTCCTTTGCATAATAGAACTCATGTAAACATTTCAGAAGTAGCAGTGGAAATATTATGACAAGAACATCTAATTTCATAACACGTTACTGATAATGGGTCATTATCCTCTCAAACAGGCATCATAGTGAAATGAAGAAACCCTCCAGAACTGTTTGTGCTACTTTGAGAGAAATTTTCAAGCAAAGTATAAAGAACTTTTAAATTTTTACTATACCACAGTATAAATGCGCTTTGCACCACTGAATTTGATCGACAGTGCCGTGGCGTTTCAACCCAGTCAGCGGAGCATAGAGAAGAATCTGTCTCTTAAAAAAACAACAAAAACCGTTGCAATTTCATCAGACGACCGTGCGTTCATGCAGGATGTTTACTTGTAATGGACTCCGTTTTTCAAAAAATCAAATATGACATTATGGCATGTCACAATAAGAAAAGCGCACGTTTAAATAAGAAAAATAAATAATAACTGGACTCCATTTAGCTGCTTGGGTTCAGGTTCTCTGCTCTTCTTACTGTGAAAATGTTTGCTCTCAATAAAACCCATTGTAATATTGTTACCTTGAAACATTTGAGCACCTCTTCAACCACATATCCAGTGAATGCATTTACTGCTAGTTCTATTACAGTTGAACCACAAGGAGCCCAAAGGATGTTTATGTTTCTTTGCCTGCAATTTGCAGAGTGATCTGACTGCACAGTGTGAATGCAGGTACAGTACAAGACAGTAATGACTGCAGGAAACAAAAGGAAATGCTATATATGAAGTGTTAGAATATGTTTTTAACAAAATGAAGTGCTGCACCGCTGTGTAGCAAAATTACAATGTTCCCCGGTGACAGATGGTGTGAGCAGTAGAAATGCCATATAGGTATTAATGAAACACTTAGAAATGTGCTACGAACCCGAGTTTTTATCAGTATGTATAGATGTGTGTGTGAGTGGTGGGAATCGTGTGTGTGTGTGTGTGTGTGTGTGTGTTATCATTAAATTATTGTAAATTCAATAAAATTCATAAACCGTGCATTCATTGCCTGGATGTAATTGAAAAAAACATAGATAAAAACTCACTTTTAAAGGTCTCATTTGTTCCTGAACAATTTTTTTTTTCTCCTAGTTGCAGTTTGCCCTTTTTGTACCACGCTCTGTCTACGTCAGCCCTCTCTGCTTATTACTTTTTCTGGGCACAGAAAATATCAAATTTTACCAGTTAAAAAGTAAAACATGAATATGCTGTTGAAATTTAGGCTTCTCATCTCTGTGATTTCTAAACATTCGCTTCACCAAATGATGTCCAAAAACACTTTCCATGCATTAGGGAAGTGCAATTCAGATTATGATGTAAATAAAGTGATTAAAAAAAGAAAATGAAAGCAAACATGGATTTTCGATCAATATTATACTGCCATTCCCAGAAATGTGTGACATGCCACTTCTTTTAAAGGAGTTTAATGAACATGTACTGCCACTCCACGAAAGCGCGTTTCTCTGAGAGCTGATTTATCTGTTTATTTAAATGGTTTTAACAGCTGAAGAATGGCTTTGGCTGATGGTAATCAGTAATGACGGCGGAGAGCTTTCTCAGTGTAAGAATTTCTATGTACATATTAAAAGTCTTGTGATGAAAAGAACAATCTAAAAGCCTTTCGGCGTGTTATATTTAATCTGCCAGTTTTTCTTGTCAGACCTGAAAAAAATGAGTGAGTTCTGCTTAACACATCAGAAATAAATGCATTGAATGGCCATGACATTATGGTGCCTGTTGTTTTTGTATTCACAATGTAGTATTTATTGAATTTTTGTAAACTCTGATTGATATTGTCTTCACTGTATCTTCTTTTCAGGACACATGATGCTGGGATCTGTCTCATTATACAGTGAGGCAGAGGCAGAGACTGTCAGGAAACCTGATGAATATTACACTAAAGTCTATCAATCAGCCCCTATATGTAAATTTCCAATTAAAGATCTGGTGGTAACTAAAGCTTTGATATTTAAGATGCAAACATCCATCCATCCATTATCTATACACCACTTAATCCTCACTAGGGTCATGGGGGGCTGGAGTCTATCCCAGATGAGTCAGGGTGAAGGCAGGAGACACCCTGGACAGGTCACCAGTCTATCACAGGGCCACACTTAGAGACAGACAACCAAGCACACTCACATTCACACCTACGGACAATTTAGAATCACCAATTAACCTCAACATGTTTTTGGATTGTGTGGGAGGACGCCGGAGAACCTGGAGAGAACCCATGTTGTACGGGGAGAACATGCAAACTCCATGCAGTAAGATCCAGGGGTGTCCTCACCGGAACGCAAACCGGCGACCTTGTTGCTACGAGGCAACAGTGCTAACCACCGATCCACCTTGCAGCCAAAGATGCAAACAAAAAAGCACTAATGAAAAAAATATTGTATTCAAAAAAATGCTTGAAGAAAGATGCTCTGTGTGGTTCAGCGTACATGTATGTAACGCATACATATGCATATATACATACACATGCATACATGCACATACATATGCATATATTTAATCAATCACTATTCCGTGGTGTAACATACATAGCATACTTGAACCAATTTAAAGAAAAAAGAACATTGCCCTCTTATACTATGGAGACAGAACAAATTGTAGGGCTGCTTTACAGACACTTTTTAATCTTGCAAAATGTCAAGAAGGATATTACACAGAACGTATGTACCGACTCTTGAGCTAGTCCGCGCTTACACAATTGCAGAGTGCATATTCAGATGAATTGGCTATTTTAAAGTTCTTCGCCAGTCATTGATTAAACCCCTAAAAAATTCATCCCCGTGTATCAAAGTTCCATATCTAGAATGTTTTTTTTTCCATGAAAATAATCTCTTCCTTCCTTAGACGTAACTCCACACCATTGCTTCCTCAACAATGTGCAGATCTATAAAGTCTCCAATACTACTCCTCTACACTATAGTTGTAAGAGTGGAGTAATTCAGCCATGCAACTGGAAACTGATTTTGAAGAGAAACACGAATACAGAAAGCACCACCTTAAGTTGATTGGCTTCTTAGCTTTGTCATGTAAGTTTGAATCTATATTTTTGAGACTGCCATCAGTACACTGCGGTTTTAAGATGGAAAGGCTTAGCCATTGCGTTGACTGCTTATTTTTGCCCCTGAAGTGTCTCTCAGCATATAAAAACCGCCACGTGGAAATGCTAACAAGATAGAAAAAAAACTTTTCACCTGAGGCAGTCTTGAACTTTTTTCTGATGAATAAGTGACAAAAAAATGTGTTGTGTCTGGTGCTTCTATAAGACCTAATTAAAGATAAACAAGTCCAGTGTTTTTCTTATCATGCTGCCCTAATATTTTTACAGTTTTACTTTATTTCCACTGAAATAATCAACCGGCAGACATTCACTCCTAATAAGCCAGATAACAACATCCACTTAATCCCGTAGAGGGTCACGGAGTGGGTCGCCGGTCCATCACAGGGCCACACAGAGAGATAGACAGCCACTCACCGTCACATTCACACCTGCAACCAATTTAGAATCACCAATTAACAAGACCGTGGGACTGTGGGAAGAAGCTGAAGAAAACCCACCGAGACCAGCAGGGAGATCAGCAGGTTTTAACCCTGAACCTTCTTACCGTGAGGCAAAAGTGCACCACTGTGCAGCCTCAGATACAACAACTTATTAAGTGAATACATCTGGAAATACAGGGATGACATAACAAATTTACAGTAGCAGAACAAACTATGAATTATAAACCATGTACCAACACATCATCATCCTGCAAAGGGAGGTATATTTTTTGGAAAAATGTCCTCCTGCAAAGTTATTTTAATGAGCTCACTGAATTGCACACAACAGTTCCTGAAAAGTACATTTACTACCCTTCACTAGAAAACCAATGTGCTTCTATGCTTGCATTGCGTTAACTTGGTGCACGACGCATAGCTCTTCCTCCACTAACATGCACAACCTCCTGCCTCCCCTCAGGTTGTACAGTATCGATGACTAGCTCAGCATTTCAGCCAGTGACTGCAGCAAGTCATTTCCACCCAGATCGTACGACTGTATTATCGTCAGTGTTTAACTGTAGGAAGTGTGTAATGACAAGAAAAAGAGCACAGTGTTGCTAGAAGACAGTGCTTCACTTCCTCAGATTTTTTTTTGTCAGCACAAAAATCTGGTGCCTGATACCAGACGGTGGCCCGCAGAAGCAAAGTAGATCTAAAAATGTAATTATAAAAATGGTTTAAATGCTGTATAACACTTAAATTATATTCAGATGATCACAAATTCGTCTGTGCTTTTACTATTAAAACTAATGGGAGATTAAACAGGTGTAAATCATTAGATCTAGTACACAGTGTTATTTCATAGTGATGCTGTGTTCTGATTATGTAACATGCATGGGGCTTGAAAAAAACAGAAAAAAGTACTTAGGTTCACCTGAAATGCACACATTTGTTTGTTTGGTGGGCTGCAAGGTGGAGTGGTGGTAAGAACTGTTGCCTCGCAGCAAGAAGGTCACCAGTTCGCATCCCAGTGAGGACACCTGGGATCTTTCTGCATGGAGTCTCCATGTTCTCCCCGTGCAGCGTGGGTTCTCTCCGGGTTCTGCTTCCTCCCATAAGGTCCAAAAACATGTTGAGGTTAATTGGTGATTCTAAATTGTCCGTAGGTGTGACTGTGAGTGTGCTTGGTTGTCTGTGTCTAAGTGTAGCCCTGTGATAGACTGGTGACCTGTCCAGGGTGTCCCCTGCCTTTTCCTGAAGTCAGCTGGGATAGACTCCAGCCCCCCTGCGACCCTAGTGAGGATTAAGTGGTGTATAGATAATGGATGGATGGATGGATGTTTGTTTGGTCCCCCTGACTTTCTAGCTGAGCTACTTGAGTGGAACAAATTTTTTCTCAGGCCAGAGAATAGATTCTGAATATGATGAATACTGACCTTTCATAATTTTATCATGCAGGTAATTTCTTTACCTTCAGTGAGCACAGAACATGACACAGCTTGCCTCACAAACACCCCACTGTTCTGTTTCTAAACCAGTGGGTTGCCTCTGGGTTTGTAAGAAAAATATAGTTTAGTCATGACTGACATCTACTGGTCAAACCATGTAGTTGCTCTTTGTCTTGTTTACAGTGATGGTTTGACTGTTATATTTCTATAAGACACAACCTCTGGAACAAAGGCCAAAAAAAATAACATTTAAAAAAAAAAAAATTATAAGACACATAAGATTTCCAACATTTTCTGTGAAAGATTTTGTAGCAATGAATGGAAAATAAAAGTACAGTGACGTACAGGAGTTTAAGTTGTCAGTGGATGCTTGTTAGCTTGCAATCCACTGTTAAGGTAAGGTAGATGTTTTTAGAAGTGCATGTAATATCTGAATAATAATTTTTTAAAAAAATAATCAAAATGTGACACCTACAAAAGCCACACAGTTGTAAAGCAAGTTATAAACCGATCAGAGTATAAATGACAAAAACGCGAACAACAAACAAGGTCAGATGAATGAGAACATGGGTTGCTGCATTCACTTTGTTTTCATATCTGATTCACTTTGACAGTGACATTTCCCTCAAAGAGAGCAATATGGTGACCTTTCCTTGTGGCACTCAGCGCCACAGCTCCAGTTTGAGATCTGTCAGTGTGACACATCAGATAAAGCTCGTGTGTTGCCTCAAGAAGAACGGAGAAACAGAAAAGAGGGAAACAATCAATTAATCATGACCGTTTCATCTCAGGACAAGTCAGGGAATAGATAAAATGTTACGCCACACCACAGTTTTCTTTTGTAGTTCTAAAAAAAATTACTTTTACACACTGTTCTGATTTTATGCTCACTGCTGTGCAACACAAAGGTCACAAACCTTTTTTTTTTTTTAAATTTTCAAAATAATTTACTAAACAGTCACTGTTTTGTTCCAGAATGTATTCAGAACATGGGCATGCCATTCAAAGCAATTTTAAAACTCTTAGTTTTTTGGTAAAATTTTTCTATTCTTTTTTTTTTTGACAATCAAGACAGAGCAAGACCGTCTTCTGCTTACAATCACTACTGCATCCTGTCGCCTATGTATGCCACTTGAGACACAATCATCACAGTATGACACTACAGGCTGCTGACCTGTTTCTATATCCTGATGCTATAAACAAATGTTTTATCATTTAATACGATGCTTGTTTTCTATGGAAAGCAATGCGCTTTACATTCCTGTCACCATACAGGGCCGAACCAGTTTCTTAGGCCTACACAAGGAATGACAAATAGAAAAACAAAAGTCTTGCACAAACCATAATGCAACATGAAAGTGACATTGACACAAACTTTTTTTATTATTATTATTTTGTAAAAGAAATATGTTGTTGAAATATATAGGAAAAATATTGTTCCCCTTTCTGTCTTCCTCCATTTCCTCCCTGTCTGATGTTATCTAGGTTAGCATCCATCTTATTTGACCTTGAGCAGACCTATGAGACTACATGCTAGGCTATTGGTAGTGCATTTGCTTCTCATTCTGATGATGCAATTCTAGGGTTTTTGGTTGGACCTCTTCCACTGTCCACCATTTTAATTGTCTCTTACACAAATAGATGGACACACACATCTCTTCAGGTCACACTTAATACTTGTAATACAAATTATTTGGCAGAATTTTCACTTCACACTATCTTTGTTAAATCTACACTGACATATTTTGTTAATCAGATGTTTACATTTGTGTGTGAAAGTATGTTTTCATAAAACTAATCCACAAAACTCACATGGTTTTATTGCTGTTCCCTTGGTAACAAGCAAACCCTTGCCCTTTTAGCCTACTGGCATTCGTGTAGATCGTACCACTTTGCGGCCGGAGGGGGGGTGATAGGAAACAGAAGTTACACAGTGACCTAATTTTACGAATATATAGTCACTTTGGAATCAATTTAATGCATTAACGCATTTTATATAACATACTGTTTTAGTTCGGTGTGTTTTACATACTGTATATTACATTATTGGTCGTCTTCTGGATTTTCAGCGGAACCCGGGAAACCCCTTCATCACATTAAACTGACGATCGTACAGTAAGCTGTCAAAAGCTTGTTGCTTAAATCTGTGCAGTGCCACAAAGTAAAGAAGAAATTAGGTCGGACACGGAGAGGAAATAACAAGCTTTAATTCTGAGAACAGAACCAGAATTAATTGGGTTGTCGAAGGGACGTTTCGGGAACACTTGACATCTTGTTTTTCCTTAGTTCAGCTGCCGTGTCGTGTGTCCTAGCTGGTGCGTGATTGCCGTATCCTCCGGGAAGCTGCTGGTTCGTGATGATGAGGTAAGCGGGTCAGCTAACAGTGTGGCTAACGTAAGCTAATAAATGTTAATGTTCATGTACTGTACGGTTTTAGCCCGTGACACCGCTGTCTTTAGCTTGCTAGCTCGGTATGTGCGTTTAGCTAGCTAGACTAGCTCAGGATGAGGATGCAAATCAGACACTTAACCGTATTGTCGAAGTGTCAAACAGTGCAAATAGGACCGTGTGATGCTAAATAGTGTCAGGTAGTTGACTGTTACCGCAGTGGCAACGGATTTAAACTGTTTTCTAGCAACTTTAACAGAATTACCAGCACACAAGATGCTTTTTGAAACGACCTACAGTGGTGCAGTGTGTGTACATCTTGTCATCTAACCTGAATACGGCATTTACTGAAGAAAAAAAAACACATTTACCCTTTGGTCAAAGTCAACAAAATGATCTCCACCAAGGATACTACAGAGTGGCTATAGGTACCACCATTGAAGTGATCTCTGCAATAAGAGGCCATCCTCCTAAATGTAGAAACATGCTGATATTATTGTCAACATTAACACCAGAGAAACACAGTGAAGGTACTTTTGAGTTATGATAGTGCTTCCCTTTTACATAAGTTTATTTCCAGATGTTGCCATATTTTGTATGGTGGATTTGTGTGATAAATGAATGAAATACTCATTTTATCACATACAATTAAACAAGTTAAATAGTAGTTGTAGAGTCTATTTGTCAAATAGGCATGTAGTATACAGAGGCAATGGAAGTTCACTGTCCAATGAAATCTGTGTGGGTTTTTTTTGTAGGTTAATTTATCTGATGCAAGCAAGCAAGTAAAAAACAACCAATCACAGCTTCTGTTGCTTCTTGCTTTAGTAAAAAACATATAGGCCCTCCTCTACTTGCTGCTCCTATGCCTGCCTACATACTAAACAAACATTGAATTAAATGTACAACTAACATCTAAAAATATCTTAGTCCAATAAGCAAACTTTTCTAAATGTTAAACTAATAAATAGCTCCTACAGTAGTGTAACAAGCTGTGATGTCCTCTCACATTAACAGTCACATTAAAGTCTAAAAATAACCAAACCAAGGTTAACCCATGGCTTTTGAAGGCTCTGTAATTGCACACAATTGTGATATAAACATACTGAGGCTTTTGAACTTATAACTGATCTTCAAATAACATAAAGAAGGTTTATGACACAGGCCTACGTTTATTATACTAACTGTGAAACATGATGAGGATATACACCGATGTGGAGCATGTTCTGTAGGCACATTATCACATTTGGGAAGAGGTTTAATAAAGTCTTACTGGCTATATCCTTTCTTTGGTTTGTACCTGCTCATCATTGCAATACTAAATTCTACGGGTATGGATAAAGTGTTGAATTACATCTTCTCTAGTAATCAAATTGTATTCATAGATACAGGGAAATCAGGAAGCTTTCACACTGTGTATCGGCTTCTGCTTTCCTATTGGCCAATTTCTGACTGGGAGGGTCTTCCCAGAGGCCAGCACCCAGACAGGAAGGGGGTGGCTGGAAATGTTTTAGTCAGAGCTGGGCAGGCAGACTGTTTTTCACTGTTGTGAAGATAGGATCTTTGCTTTATGAATCCATGGGAAAGAAAAGGGGGTAAGAGCTTTTTTGTTGTTGTCATTATCCTAACGTGGAAGCTACTCAAAAGTTGTTTCTCTAGCCTTACAATCCGGGCCACGGACAGAAGTTCTTTAGTGCCGCATGAAGTGAGAGAGATAGGTTTTCTTGCTCCGTTTCCTGACTTGCGCCTAAAGGAATTTGCTGCAGTATGCTGTGGGATAGCATGGGCTGTTACAGGAGGAGAAGAAGAAGAAGAAGAACAGCAGAGTTTGTTTCCAATCCGTGCCTTTTGAGTCGCATAGAACACGTTACTTGCTCTCAGCAGAGAAACTTTTCAACTCTTGTAGAGATTTGTTCAGCTCGTGAGTTTACCACCTTTTCTGTCGGCTCAGCAACTTCCTGTGTAGCTGCAGGTCTTGTGTACAGGTCGGACTATCTCATTTGTGTTTAACTCCCAACCTGATGTGTGTGTGTGTGTGTGTGTTTTCTTGCTTTCCTTTTATGCTGTATGTTCTCCGGTGGGCTTAGAGTCAGCATATCTGACTGCAGCTATTTGGCACCAACTCTTCATGTCATCCTTTTAGCCGGTCCAGAGTAGCAGTGTACTTGAAAATAGAATAGTGAATATAGAAAAAGTATATGACTGAGATAAGATGCAGTTAGTGGATACTGATAAATGCACTTTTTTTACAGCTGTATCATAACCTACATCTTATAGCTCTATGGATTGGTGCTTGGAAATGTGAATATACTGTTACTGATTTATTGATTACCGTGACACTCACTACCCAGCTACACATTACAAATAGCACACTGTGGCTCTGCGTACGTCATGTTTGTAACATACCATGGCTTTTATTTGAGAAGCATGGTGTGAAGAAATCTCATGTGCTTCTATGAAATGTGTGGATATGATATTGCAGTTACTTTAATTCAGTTGAAATATTGAGCATCTGTATACCCCCCTATCTCGCTACCATCACAGTTTTAACCTGGAGAAAGATTTATCGGCTGGATTTTAATAATGTAGTGGATGCTTTTGCCCACAAAATGATGAGGAAGAAATATCTGGTTAAAGGTAAAAGTGACTCTCTTTAAAGGAGCCAATGAATTTGGCTTCTTTAAAGAGATGTTTGACAGTTTATCGGAGCGTATGATTCATTCTTTGTGGATCCATATGCTACAACCATTCTGAAGAAGTGTATTAGTTTCGCTGTGTTTCTCAGTGACATGTCCTGTTTCGTTTTCATACAGATTTTATGGTGAAGGCAGACTAATGGATTCGGATGAAAAATTTATCACTTTCCCAGAAAAATAATCGAATAGATAAAAGGTGGTGAGTGTTTCAGAAATGCACATGGAGTCTTGTTTTCTGTTCTCTTGCAGCCAATAAATAACCTATAAAATTCTGCATCGGCTTGTTAGGATGAGCAGAACTTTCTCTATACAACACTTACTGGATATCCATCAATGGGAATTTTTTTGTCTACATAATTTCCATGGCAACACGGTGATGCAGTGGTTAACACTGTCGCCTCGTAGCATGGTTCTGCCTTTGAACCCACTTTGCATGTTGTCCCTGCCCCCATGTGGGTTTTACTCTGGGTGCTCTGGCTTCCTCTCACAGTTCAAAGACACGCATGTTAGGTTAATTGGTGATTCCAAATTGGCTGCAGGCGTGAATGTTTGCCTGTCTCTCGGTATTAACCTTGTGATTGACTGGCGACCTGTATGTACCCTGCCTGTTGCCCAGTATCAGCTGAAATAGGCTCCAGCAACTCTCTACACGATAAGAAAATAGAGCTAATTTTATTATTTTTAGTATTTTTATTTACTGATGTGCCTATTGTTTCGTAGGTTGATTAAAATTTACTGCCAAAAAATATTAAAGCATGTCTGTCATTATAGCTCAGTTATGGTTTGGGTAACCAACAACAGGACAAAACTCAAAAAGGATTGTAGTGTGGAGGTATAAAAGACAGTAAAGCAGCAAATCATCAGAATCGAGAAGCTAGAAGTCGAAATGACAGGAGTTTTTATTTTAAAAATGACATTAACTATTCATTTAAGTTGCGTAATAATTTTCTGCCGATTGTTTTTCGCAGTTCTGGTCTAGTTAGTTTGCAGACTAGTGAGGCTGTAATAATTTACAAGAACGTGGTGGTGTCAGACTGTTGTGGCTTTATTATGGCTTCTTTCCAAAAGGGATTAGACTTGTCTCATGAGAATCTGATATGACTGAATATAAGCTGACTAATTACAAAAGATCACCTTTGTTATTTTTTTTTTTTTAGCCTAATCGGCTTTCTGTTGTAAACTACTAACGAACAGATAAGAAATAATGGTTTAGAGAGAACAGAGGAGGGTTCAAGAATAATTTAAGATTGCTCAGATTATGCCAGCGGAAGACTAGTGATACCATAATTACAATGACAGCTAATTAAAGTGCAATTTCAGTAACATTCGTGTTATTTTTTTTTTGTTCTTTCAGGTCACCAACAGAAAGTGCCTTTGAGAAGATATCCCCGACCTGAAGCTGGCCTATGCTTTCTTTACAGTCGCACTCAAATACCAACACAGGATACCTCAGCTTCAAGTCGCTGGTCATCAGTTTGCACAACTTCAGCATCTAATAGAGTGCTAAATTTGAGCCATAATATTAAAGGATAAGCGGACGGAGAATAATGACCTGAGAATGTATAACTAAAGTGGCATCATCAGCTGTGGAACAAACGCTCAAACGTGTTGTAGAAAAAGAAAAAAATGTCTGCAGTTTCTTTTTGATGGACAATTTCACAACGATTGACCAGCCTTCCCGTTTTTCTGCTCCAGCTGATGGAGGCCGTCAGCTGTCCTCAGGTTGTTTTAGAAGAGGACAGGACTTGCGCTTACAGTTAGATGCTCTGATTAATCTACAGCCTTTGGTGTTTAAGTCTTTAGACAATTAGACTGACTTCAGATTTATTGTATAGTGAAAAACCTTTGGACATGGCGTTAAATCTTTCTTCAGTACGAGACACAAAGTGGCTAACTTTGGAAGTCTGTCGACAGTTTCAACGAGGAAACTGTTCACGTAGCGATGAGGAATGCAAATTTGCTCATCCGCCGAAGAGCTGCCAAGTCGAGAATGGGAGAGTTATTGCCTGCTTTGACTCACTGAAGGTAAGACATATAAATGATCCTTCACTAAATGTCGGGAAATGTTGCTCTTCTATAAACGAGTATGTAACTCAAAAACATCCCTTGAAAAGAAAATCCGATTATTTGTGTCCCTGAACAAATGATTTCTTCATCGTATCATATAAAGCTGCAACCCGATCGAAAGAAAATTTATTGGCAGCAGTTTTGCTAAATAATTGATCATTTCACTCGGTTTTCCAGGAAAAATGTTAAATTTGCTGGTTTTAGCTTTTGCAGTTTGTCATTTATACTATTAAATAAACATCTTTGGGGGTTTTGATTGCTTTTTAAACAGATTGTTGACTGTTTTTCAAAAGAAGGCGTTGGAAAGCATCACATTGGGCTCTGGGAACATTTGATTAATCAAGAAAAGAATCTAATAACAATTGTACAACCATAGTATTATGCCAATTACCAAACATATTATTATTATTTTTACATTTTCCTACATTATTATTTTTTGCAGCCCTTGGGCTCAAGCTGCTGTGCTGTTTTTTGGTATCCATTTGGAAGAGCAGCTCTGATATTGTTCAATTTTTTTTGTACACTGCGAGGCTCGAACATAGTGTTAATAATAGATAAAAACCACTATTCTCTTGTGAAATCATAGGTAATCCCACACTTTTCCAAAAAATAGAGTGAAATACCTGTTAAATGTTGCTCTGTTCACTCACCTAATGCAGACGATTAAAAAAAAAAAAAATCTGGCAGCCGGTTGGATTACAGCCAGTTTATTCTCCTGCTTGCTCAGTTGCCCTGTATGAGGCCAGAGCTGCCTTAATCCACTCTCACACATTCACTATCACACCACAATACAGCTTTGCCCCCAGGATTATTCCCGTGTTGAGTCATCATCTTATCTCCTCACTGTAGGTTTATATACAGCTAGTCTGTGCCCTAGTGGTCAAGGGCCTGAAAGCATTAAGCACAAAATAGCTCCCTTATTCCTTTATCTAAAAGTAACACGTATTGATCATCTTGAATGTTGTTAAATAGGTTGTCATTGGGGTTCTAATGCAGTGTTTTAATTGTAAACATTATAGGCTATTTTAAATGAGTTGTTGTATCTGTTTGTATTAATTTAGTACCGTGCACTTAAAAAAAAATTAACTAATCAGAATAATAAATGTCCAAACATGCACAAGATACTTCACAACAAAACTACATTTTCCCAATTTTATTGTAATCTGTATTCTTGGATTCTCTATATTAAATGACTGCTTTACAACTCAGAGGTGTTCTGATTAAAATATTTCATCTGTTGTTTGTAATGAAAGTTACAGCTGTAGCTAACTGTGCATTAGTTCCCCTTTCGATGTAAATTTTATTTAATCAGCTGTCCATAATATGAAAAACACTGTCAGATGAGACAAAGGGAAGCACTAGCAAATTAAAAACTTAAGCTGAATACTGTTTGACGTTTTTATTTTTAAAAATTGCTTAAATTATTATTCAGTCGTCAGAATACAGTTTATGATCATTTTCTGTCAACTGACTTATCAATTTACTCACATAAGGCCCTAAATGAAGGGTACAGTTTACTCAGAACCAGACTAAAATGTCGACTTAAAAAGGCTGCCTAAAGGGAGTATCGAGTTCCTTTTGGGATTGAGCGAATGAATGTTAAGCTTTGTTTTATCGTATTTTGAGCGACCTATCTTCTACATTCAAGCTCAGAATCGCTGTGTCTTGTGAGAATGGAAATAGGAAATCAGCGAGCAAATCAGTTGCTGTAGTCATGTGATGATGTCACAGCTCTTCTTAATGAATAGACTTTTGTCTTAAGGAGTTTTTCAATGTTGTCTGTTCCTGACATCTCTACTGGTCATGTGTCCAACTAACCCAGTAGCTCTTTGTCATCCTTGGCCCTTACGTGTTAACACTAAGAGGGGGGCTAACCATCTGAACTATGCTATTCAAAGACGTGTTTTCTTCTTATTTACCTGTTTTGGCTTGTTTACTGCTGGTGTTGCCATGTGATTTGGTAAATTCAGGCTTGTGACCGAGAAGGACAGATCGAAACAGTTGCTGAGAAAGTTCCCATTCGCAAGTTACTCCTAACAGAGTTACTTTTATTCTACTGAAGAATGTGCACATGGTTTGGTATTGTAACCAGTATCTCATGACTTCCAGTAAAGCAGCTGAGTGTCTTGTTGATTCATAGAACGAGCTGCCTGAGCTGTTTAACGTGGCTTGCTGTCTCTACAGTTATTTATTAGTTCTTCCAGTTTTTTTAACGTAGCTGTTTTGTACCACATTTGCACTCAAACATCAGCACGATCACCAATTACTACTGAGGTTTTTTTTCCTTCTGTGTCCCCGAGATCTCCTAAAAGACGTAGACACTGGCAACCAGTCTTCAAAAATACTATCCTGTTTCAGACGCTCTCAAACTAATCTTTCAGCACACAAACCTGCTGCCAGTGTGTACATCAGAAACACTTTCATTAGCATCTCTAAATTACACTCTTTCTGTCTTAGCTGCATTTTGTCAGAGATAAGACTAATGACAAATTAATAACAGTTAAACTGACATTGATATTCGCAGAAAATAATCTAAATCTCTTGAGAGAAATGCAAATGAGTTGAAATGAGTTAACTTGACTGCAGAATGTGAATATGTAGGAGAGAGGAAGCTAACTTCTCATTAGGCTAATAGAAATGCTTGATTGACAGAAACGGCTTTGGTTGGCTCATTTTAAAGTCTAAAAGGAGGTATTAATAATCAAGCTTAACAACCAAACTGTTGGATTCTCACAGTTGGCACGCTCTGGGACATCCTATGTAGCCAGTCAGCTTTTTCTTTTAATCTCTGCTAATACCTATAATCATGAAGAGAGCTCTAGGAAATTATATCTGACCGACTGGTCTTCATCTCAGCCCTGCTCCCCACAGCCCAGTCTGTTCTATTCATGAGGGACTACTGTCTGCTATTTTCATTCAAAGATCTTTGCCAATGTCGTAAATGATAGTAGATGAAATCGGGAAGGATTGATAGTTGTGCATTCAATACAACTTTCATTGTAATTCAGAATAACAGAATAAAAACTGTTATGTTCACCATTTCTGACCTCCTGCTCTGACCCTGTAAACGAAGGCTTTAAGACTGTGGTTCTCAAACTAGAGGTTTGCCAAACTAGAGGTTGGGACCCCCATGGGGGTCCCAAGATAATTTCAGGGGGTCGCCAGATCATTATGTTAAAAAAAATAAAGCCTACATTTAACAAATAAATGTGTATTAGGACTGTCAAAATTAAAAATGTATACTTCTTCCCACTCCTTTTCCGGACTTGTTAATATTATGATTTGATTATATGATATTATTATTCTTTTTTGCTCTTTTTTAATGCTTTTAAAAAAAATGATTTTCTTTTGTTTTTATATATTTTTTCCCTTTCATTTGTTAAAAATAAATTCAATTCATTCAGAAGAAGAAGAAGAAGAAAATGAACGTGTTAATGTAAAGAGATTAATCTGTGGAATTAACACATTAATTTCTAATGCATGAACAACAAAGTTATTACTCATGCGATATTAAATATTCAAATTGGGGGGGTCCCGAACACAAACTTATGTTATCTTGGGGGTCGTGGCTCAAAAAGTTTGAGAACCACTGCTTCAAAACATCACATGTCCTGCAGCAGCTTCTGCTTTTTTGCAATTTTCCACAAAATTTCTCTATCTGTCTGCACTACAAGCAAAGTCTTGTGTCTGATTCAAGGGAATTTTAACAGCCGTCAGTGCTATGTAAAGTGGTTTTATTCTAGCCATAACTAGCTGTCACATCATGCAGATTAGCACAGCTGACAGCGTAGATGGCTATGAGGAGCCTGAGTGGGAGAGGGATGTGCAGGAAAATAGGCTTTGATGGTGGCGTTGGGCCCGGCAGCTTTTGCAGTAAATTTTAATCGCCAATGATTCTGTTCTCATTGTGAAAATCTTTAGGACAATGTAATAGGATTTGATAAAAGGCAAGAAAAGAACGCTATTACGCTTCTGATGTAATGACTCTGTGACATTTTTATCACTTATCGGTTATATTTCAAAGAGCAGCTGTAAAATTTCACGATATGGAACAATGAGGTCGTTCAGAGGAGTATGAGGATTACCTGCCTGCCTTCTGAGAGCTCCTCTGTCTTTTTTTTTTTTTTCTGTGAATGCAGGGCAGATGTTCAAGAGAAAACTGCAAGTATCTCCATCCACCTTCGCACTTAAAAACCCAGCTCGAGATAAACGGGCGCAACAATCTCATCCAGCAGAAGACGGCAGCAGCTGTGCTCGCACAACAGATGCAGCTCATGATCCCTGGACCCGGCTTGCAGCCTGTGGTAAGGACCCTCATTGTTATTCAAGAGGAACTTGTGTTTGTGTTATGTAATGGTTCTTGTCTCACTGGTAATTTATGTCCTCTCCCCTTATAGCCAACATTTCCTGTTACACAGGGACTTGGCACCAATACTGGTCTTGGTTATGGTTCGTACATGACACCCCTGAGTCATGGGATGAGCCTCATTCCTTCAGACATCCTCTCCAGCACCCCGGTCCTTGTTCCTGGGAGTCCACCAGTCACTGTCCAGTGTTCCTCCTCTTCCTCTTCCTCTTCTTCTTCTTCTCCTTCTCAGAAGCTGCAGCGCACAGACAAACTAGAGGTATTTTTGCACCACAATGTATGATTTCCCATAAAAAAAAAAAATACTTAAAGATTTGACTGACATAATCTGGCCACATGCTAAAAGCTGAACTCCTCCTCACTGTAATTGCTCTTCTCAGGTGTGCCGTGAGTTCCAGCGGGGAAACTGCGCGAGAGGGGAGACAGATTGCCGGTTTGCTCACCCCAGTGACAGCCCAATGATTGACACCATTGACAACACTGTCACTGTTTGCATGGACTACATCAAGAGCCGCTGTTCCAGGGAGAAGTGCAAGTATTTTCACCCGCCTGCGCACTTGCAGGCCAAAATCAAATCCAGTCAACAACAAGTCAATCAGACGACCGTGGCAGCACAGGCCACAGCTGCAGCCGTGGTAAGACAGAGCCTTATCCTTCTGAGAAGTGCTTGTCAACTCATTTTCCTGCCAATAGTGTGGCGGTGTCATTGTGTTTTGTGCCATGAAATTGCTGAATGTGGAGCACGACATTTTTTGTATACATCACTATATGCCCTCGAAATTTGAAGAAAACCCTCCTAAAGGGTTTTTTCTTTGTGGAAAATCAACAATTATCCAAGCCAAAGTAGTGATTTCTTAGTCTAGGGGTTTTTATAGTCTGACAGTGTGTGTGACGGTGTTTACATTTTGGCAAATTTGCATTAGAACACCTGTCAATCAAAATGAGAGTGATAGCAGGTTCCAGTTTTGCATTTTGAGCTTTTGTAGTAGAACTGTGCTTTTGATTTACATTTCAAGACTTGTGGAAGGATATGCATTTGCAATATATTGGCACATGCACTGAATACTTAGTATTTAGCACAGTATATTGCACCTAACAAAAAATAAACTGTTACAAATTAATGCTACTGACGATGAACCAACGTAACATTTTCCTCTTCATAAATTTTGAAATTTATTGTTCAAATTTTAAATCTAAAATCTGAAACTTGCACGTTCCGTTATGCTAGATTAAATATAATGGATTGTCAGTTTTCTGATTTGGCACAATTTTAAATATACTGTTAAATGAACTATAATAACTTTGCTGAAGCCATGTTGCTTTCCTCACTCTTTGCCCTTCATGTCCTCGACAGACCATCTCCATCACTTCGCATGTGCTTCATCATTTACCGTTACTTACATTTACATTATATTTTTTGTTTTGCTTAGTTTTGTTGTGCTTTAAGCTCACGAAAACAATTATATTTTAAGTGCGGTACAAGCCGAGAATACATCTGTCATTCCACCAAGAGCTTTAGTGTGACTGCAGTAAATGGAGCTCCACATTCGGCGCTTTATGACATCAGATGCATGGTTACTTCAGCTGTTGATTTGTGATATTGCTTTTGGCTAGCTCTCATAAAAACCAAGCCATCTTTCATTTAACAATAAAAGTGTTCAGTGCTTGCTGTGCGTTACATTAATATCCCTCCCTTCAGGCTATAAAATCAATGTTTGTATTCAAAATTACTTTTTTTTGTGCATAGTTGACCTGATTATATCACGGTAGTCATAGTAGAAGCGTTTTGATTCTAATTAACAAACTCTGATCACATGTCATGTAGCGGTATTCGGGTAATTAATGTGAAATTAAAGGGCGAACAGGATTGTACATTATCACTGTGGATGTGTGTTTCAAAAACAATTGATTATTTGTACATGTTGACCTACTAATGACAAAATCTCTAGCGTGTCTTTTAATCAGTTATTTTGGTTACTGTGCATGTATATTGTGTTTTATGTGGTATACTACATTCAGATTATTTTGTTTTGTTTTCCCCTTCTCACCTATCCACAATGCTGTCCCCCATGATGCACCTCTGCTTGCTGTTACCTGTATGTTAATACGCTTGAATCCCATTGGCCCACTGCCATCATGTGCTCGCTGCCTGCTATTAAAAGACTCAGTCGACTGCCAAAGCAATGAAGCGACCCCTCGAGGCAACTGTAGACCTGGTATTTTCACCTTTTGCTTTGCATGTAGCTATTAATTATACTGAAATAACTTTAAATTTTTTGTCATTGTGGTTTACAGCTTCTTCAAGTATCATATAGTCCTCGTGTACACAGTCAGTCACCATCAGTATCTTTTAAGTGCTTAAGTTATCAAATATGTTTTACATTTTGGTTTATTACATTATTCCAGTCATCTCTGTATCCTACAGCTGTGGTTGATTTTTTTTTTTCATCATTTGGCAACAGTCATCTTTAATGTTTAGTTCTATTTTCCATTTTTTTAAGTAAATACTAACATATATTGTATTTTAAGAGTGTGCGTAATGTAGATGAGTAGAGTGAAGGAAAATGTGGAAAACTTCATTTCTGCTCTTGTCACTTTTCAGGCCTTTCCCCACAGTGTCCTGCAACCCTTACCAAAGAGACCGGCTCTTGAAAAGAGCAGCTGGGCCAGCTCTCTTCTCAGCCCCAGCTTATTGCACTACCAACAGGCTCTGGCCAGCACACAGTTGCAGCAGCCCACTGCAGCATTTTATCCCACAGGTGAGTCTCTAAAATTGTTATGGATTCAGAGCTAAACCAGCACCTTTACACAGCTTTCCATTTTGTATTACATGTCTGCCTCACTGTTTTCTGGCTTTAGATATTGATCCGAATGTCTCACACACCTAGAGTTCTTGTTTAGCCGAAGAACTTTGCAGTGGCCTCTTACACTGCTCATAAAGGAGTCTGTTATGTGAGAGCTTCGAGGCGGTTGTTGTGACTTTCAGGACAGACATTTTGGCTTGTTATTGCAAGAAAACCAAGACTGTAACTAATGATATTAACAGTGGATGCATTCTGTGTAGTTTCCCCAATTGCAAGGCCCTACCACTGGCCTTTTTTTTTAATAGCAGGTGATTTATCTTGTCATATTAGGACAAGAATAGGGCTTATACATGAGCAATGGCTTTTTGTAGTCAGTTACACCAGTAGACCATGACAGTGTGAAGCAAGTCCAAATACACAAGTTTTGGTGTTGTCATGACTGATCATAGGACGATTTAATGACTTGCTGCAGCTGATGAGTTCCTCATTAACTGACGAGCTTATACAGGCTTTTTATTCATAAAAAAATCGATCAAAGAGGAAAAATACAGCTCTCAATCAGCCGGTTAGCAACAGTAATGGTGCAGTAATGCGTCACATCTGTGCCTTACCTGGTGTGACAAGTATTAATGTCTGTTGTGAAAAGATCTTTTTGCATACTGAAATATTTCTTATACCTAACATGGAATAAAAGTACAAATGTATCCTGTCTTTAAAATGCAGCTCTAGACTTGTATGTACATGGTATTTCTCTTGTGAATCTTGTTGATGTATTATGTAGCTCACCTTGACTTAAACTGTATCCCTCAGAAAACTGCTGTTTTAAAGCCATGAGCCTTTTTTGTGTGTATTTACTTAACTTTAGATCTATGTATTGTGGCTCAGTTTTTACTGAATTGATACGTGCCAATCACTGAAATACCTTCTCTCTGTCTATTTCAAAATCACACAGGTTCTGTCTTGTGCATGACTCCCGCTAACAGCGTCGGTAGGTCTCTTCCTTATCTTGTTTACATTCAATAGAGAACACATTACTGGACTCAGAGTTTTATTGTCATTCCAGCACAAGAAAACCCCACTTTAAATCAGAAACCCACATTTCAACCACATTTTAATATGATCAGAGAGGATAATTCTACTTTTTTCCGGTACACATTTTTAGCTTTGGGGCATGTTTTGTTTGCTTCTCTAATCACAAAGCCTTATATCTGGAATTGCTTGTAAGATTAATTAGTCCAAATCAAACACAGAAATGTAAACATTTAGGTGGATTCTGTTTGTAGAATTGCTGTGCACCACTAGGAAGGATTAGGAAATTTGATCAGCATCCCTAAGATTTGCCGCATTGTTGTTGCTTTTTAAAAATATTCCTAAATATTTCACATTAATAAAACTCTGCGAATGCCTTATAAGAACACTTTGATCATGTCGGGTGGCGTTGCTGTACATGCCATCTCTTGTGGGATGTCAAATTATGGACAGATTTCCTAATTTTGTCTCTTATCAGCCCTCCTTTTATGTTCTCCCCTGCTGTCTCGCTTTGCTGTGTGATCACATGCCATCTGCTGGTCTAACCCAATGATGGCTTGCTGCTAATGTCATTTTGTATTTGCCTGGCAAGAGAGAGAGAAACATTGCTATGGTTACCATAATGCTCCACCTCCCTTTTCATTGCTTTCATGGTTCCCTTCCTGAAAAAGTCCCCATGATGTACAGTGCTACGCCTGCTACTGTCTCTGCAGCAACTACTCCCGCCACAAGTGTCCCCTACGCAGCAACAGCACCAACCAATCAGGTTTGCTCCTTTTTAAAGCTTTCTGTCATAAATCCTTGAGCTTTGAATGAGTGCTTCATCTTTTAAATCAGGGGAGCTGCTTCGTCAGCATAGAGGTATCCTGCTTGCATTGCCGTCATTAAGCTTCATCTACCTGTAGACCTTCAGCAGAAACTACTAGGCTGCATCTCATCCCTTTCCCTTATGACAGGCAACACTTACTTAGAGGTCTTCCATCTTCAAATAGTGGGGTCGCATTTATTCTTTATTGCATGTCGTACGCTTTGTTCGATGTCAGTGTCTTTTCCAAACACAATAGTAGGATTCCACCAGACAGGTTTTATTAAATAGTTCATATTGTGTTTGTGTGTGTTTATATTCCTTATATTTTGGTCATCCAGACTTCTCCTAACTAAAACATTTGATATTTTGATCAGTTGAAGCTCTATGTAATGTTTATTCCTCACCAGTATTCTGTCCTTTATTTAACTCATAGTAGTGTTTAATACATGTAGAATCATGTGCATGTATGCAAAAGTGAATGCTGTGTCCAACGGTGGGTCCATTTTTGCAAATAAATGTCATTCAGCTGTGCATAACTCAACAGTTCAAATTGCAGTGGGCATTTTTAAAGTGACAAAATAGAGCATATTTTAGACAAATTGCATCCACACTCGAATCTGTGTAATTTTGTTTTTTTTAAATTGCCTTTTAAAAAGCTTTCTGTCTGTGACCTTCTTCAGAAGCAAGTGAACGCAGCAGTACACTTGGTCAAAAGAACATCACTTGACTAACTGTAATGCAGGAGACTTGTGTCAATCAGTTGAATTTGTGGGACACAGTGTTCCAATCTCCACAACTCACTGACTTTGACACATGTTCCTGCCAGGAGCGTGAGAGCTCCGGGCTGTCCCACTGTCAAATCAGGACGGCTCTGATGTGGACTTTTCAAAGCTATTATGCGCCTTTCTGTGCACATACTTTCTGCGTTTCCACAAGGACTCGCACGTAGTTCATTGAGGTATGGGTGGCTTATAAACATGGCCGTCCGGCCTCTCACAAAATGTACACAAACCAAACATGGACGGCGCAGGAAAGGAAACTCCTGGAAGGCTTATCTCTAAATGACAGCATCCGTATGGAGTTATTTGTGTTCTCAGTTGAACATCCACTTAGGATTCACAGATGTTCACAACATTCCTGAATTTTGGTAGCTTGCTGAAGTGTATAAACACTGTCATGTCCCAAACAGGAAGTGATCCGCTGAGCAGCTGGTAAAACGGCAAATAAAATGCAAGTCCTTTTTTTTTTTTGTTGTATTTACTGGCGACAAGTTGTTTCCAACCAGCAATTGCTGTCGCTGTTGTGTGTCCCATTCCTCCTTTTTACACCATTCCCTGTCCTCACACACTCAAGTGCTACAGCCGTGATGTCAGTTAAGTCTGTAAGGGTTTAGTGCTAAGGCCGTAGGGTGGAGATTGGAATTGAGCCAGCGTCTACAGAGGCGGTCAAGAAAGGCTAAGCACAGCGAATATAAAAGTAAAGCAGAAGCTGGAATACACAACAGTAGAGACACATACAAAGTAAAAAATCAGGCTTCAGATGTCATAAAGCATAGTTCAGAAATAATCTATTGTCTTTTCTTCATAATAAAACACTCATGTCAAAGTCCTCATTAACGGTTGCAGTGTTCCTATGGAGTGGATCCAGAAATGCTCTCTGAAGAATAATCTGTTCTGTGCCCTGGAACCTAAGAAGGGGAATTGGATGTGAGTGGTTATTAGAGTGACGAGCTACAGGACAGTCCGTATCTGTGCATCTTAGGAAACTTTTATTGTCGCTCATTCTTTACCAACATAGATTTTTTTATCACATGGGTATTTCAACAGGTAGACTGTTCTTTTAACCTTTCGTACTGCTGCATTCATTTGCTGTTTATGCCTCGAAGAAGATCTTTTACTGAAAGCTCACTAATTAAAAAGATTTTTGCACAGATTCGAGTGCACAGATGTTTTGTACATTCAGTTTTATAATTTATCGCTTCAGCACATCAGAAAAGTCTGATGTTGGCTGATTGGATTTTTCCCCCTCTCTAGATAAAAAGTGAGGTAAACAAAAAAAAGGTAAACAAGACAGAATAAGTCAGACATTCAAGGTTCAAATGAAATGACTACAGAGAGTTTAAGGCTCATTTCATTTAATCTTGTCATTTTTATACTCATCCTTACAGTAAGTTTTGACGAGCCCGTGTAACAAAAAGCATGTTGTGGTGTGAAACTACTCAGTGACTGTCTTTTGCCTTTGAAACAGATCATCCTCAAGTAACCACCAGAAACAGTCGTCAGTGCCATGTTGCTGCTGTTAAAGGTCCCAAACAGCCATTCTGTAAATATCCTGTTAACACCACACACGACATACGACAAGCTGCATGCTGACAACATCACTGATGAGAAAACATTAACGTGGCCTCTGATAAACTCCATGTAATGGCTCAGTTACTAGGATTATACTATGTTAGGTGTCACTGCTGTATGTGCACACCTTTGCACCTGCATTAACATGAATCCTGCATAATATGTCTGTTTCCTAAACCAGTTCTGATGAGGTTCCGGGTGCGTTTAGCCTCTTATCGACCTGAAATGGAAAGCCCAGTGAATACAAGGGGCGCTTCTGAACAAACTCCACCAGAAAACACATCAAACTGAAAACAGGCAGTGCAGTTACAGTAGTAAACGCTTAATACTAACCGGTATGTAAAACAATAGAAAAGTTGCTCACTATACATTTTATATACATTTTAAGTGGAAAGGATGACTGATGTAGTCTGAAATCAGTTTTCAGTGTGTACATGTTAATGTCAGTTGTAAAGGGGTCCTATATTGGAGATTGTCAGGTTTTTTTCAACCTTATATTGAACAAAATATGATTTCTTTTCTTTTTCAGTGGGTTATTTAAACTAAGAAAGTTTTGTTTTTCACATCCGTGATTGTTTTATCTAGTGCCAGATTTAAATATTTTTAACAAATTGGCGAAAAGCACTTGTTTTACCTTGAAACTCCATATTTTAGAAACACAATTTGAACTTTTAAACGCTCTGAGGGTCGTCCTCTCTGTACTTTACCCAGTTATCCCCAGAGAACTGGATCAGTGCTCCACCTCCTGGTGTGCCTTTGCATTGCATATACAGGTTGTTTGTTAGGAAAATACTGTGCAATTTATTTGATCCACAAATATTTTTTTCTAAATTACCCCCAGTTTATTATCTGGATGATCAGTTATTCTGATATATGACTTATTGATGAATCTGTAAGTAGATTTCACTCGTTCAACTTGACATAAACAAACCACATTTCTTAGAAGAGCCTCCACATCCATGAAAGTAGACTCAGTAAAAGGGTGTGCTCATATTCAAACTAGAGTTCTTGTGATCCTATAAGGATTGTGTGTTGAGTATCGTGCGGACTGTCGGTCATAATGTTACAGTCACTTGTCAGTACTGTATAATTTGAATGTTACAAGTGCCTAAGGAATTGTGCATGCAATGACATCTAAGCATATTTAAAGGCGTTGTGTGGAAGTCACTCAATTAAATCTATTAAACTTAAGTCACAGACGTTAGAAATAAATGTACATGTTTTGCAATGCCATGTCAGTGCATTAGTATTTTGTGTACACCTGTTCAGATTTAGTCTTACGATTAATTTCACTGATGCTCAAATGTGTATGTATGTACTAAGTATAAGAGTTAATATCCAGTTTTGTTTTCTTTTTGTTTCACTTTTAGGATGATAAAGTAGTTTACGACAAGGTAAAATACTTTTTGTGGTAAAGTAGAACCTAAGGAGGAAACGTAGTCACGTATGATTGATGCCACATTATGCAATTAGCCACCTCTGTGTGAACCTCACAGCCGACAGAGTGGACGTTGTGTCTGGTTAAGTCAATAATTATTTCTTCTATGTGCTGTTCTTCTGAACCTCTTTCGTTAATGGTTTTAGTTCCCTATTTGCAAGCAGCGTGTACAAATGTCAACCTTTCCTTCAGATGTTTTCGATGACTTTTCAAGAGATATGGCATTTGTTCACTTTTTCATTATGTACTTTCCTTATGAAATGTTTTACACATTATTAATAGAATATATGAGTATAATTGCATATTTTACTAGTTTAACATTAGCTAGGTACACTTTTAAAAAATGTATTCTCCTCTGTTTTATGATGAATGTAATTTATTAAACTGACTTTATCTCTGCTGGAGGTTCCTCAAAGGACCTTAATCTGTTAGCCTGAAAAACCGTCTTGTGTCCAGGAAATGAATGTCAGAGAAAAAGAGAAGCTTAAAGCATTTCATCCTTGTTGTTGTCACCTGTAAGGCACAACGAATCTTTGTTTGAGCAAGGCCATAGAATTGCTTTTTTTGTGTGTGCAAAAGTGCATTGTACAGGCTGCGTTTTATGAGAAAAAAAAGTAATTTTCACAATGGTGTAACAATAGTTTGTCATTAAATTGTTTGATTTGTTGCTGAGGCAATCTGAAGTTGCAGTGATAAAAGCCGTATTTTTGTAGGTGATGAACTCGTCGTCTCTCCTCACAGTGACACAGTTAGATTCTACATTGGGATATTTTGCGTTATTATGTAATGGTGAAACAACACTGTGTGTGATGCAGTGCATAAAAAAAAGTAATGTTTGAAATGTTAATTTTGTGTTTCCCCTGCATGGTAACATCTTGCAGTAAAAATATCCCGTCTGTTGATCGCCTCATTCAGAAAGCCAGGTGTTGATGGTTCAGCAGCTGTTTAAAACGTTATTCGGTTTTCAAAATACGATCGCTTTAAAGGTTTAGTTTGTCATTAGATAGATGACATTTTCTCCTTATTTATTTTACCTGCAACAAAAAAACAACAACAAAAAGGCATATTTCTGAATGTTTGTGTTACCTTTTGGGCAAAAAGCTTGAATGTCATGGATACACCTGCACGCGGAGGTTGTTTGAGATTTTGATCACCCAGTCAAAAAGATATGGACACGAAGAATGTTTGGTCTGACTGACTGACGGAAACATTTCTCTTAAGCACTTTCTCACCAGTCAGACGACTGAGAAGACATTGCTTTTTGTGAACTTTGCCTTATCTTTGATCTATTCACACGTTTGTATTTGTTCAGTAATCATGAATTTCATGCTATCTAATAAATAAAATCCACTGAACCTTTCTCTTAAATTATATCACATTAGCTTTTAGTTTGACACCACGATTAGAGACCAAACGCTATCCTGAAAGGCTAGATGTTGATGGGATTGGCTCGCTCGCCATCGTAAATGAGTGTATTAGCAAACCCCATGAAGCTGTCATGGCAGTTCGATTTGGTTCCATTCTGGCCTGAATATAAACATTTCCCAGTTTGTTTGTTTCTTTTTATTTTATTTTTTAATATTAGTGAAAATGATTTGTGCATAATTAGACATTTCACGTGGATAGTTCTGTTCCTGTAAATTCTAAATTGTGTAAAATCTGATATTGCAAATAAATAAATAAATAAATGTCATGTAAATGCCACGCTGTGTGATCTCTTGTTTGATTGTGTAATGTGTAAACTGTTCATTAGATTCACAAATGAAGATTTTATTATTTCTAATAGCTGGGTTATTTAAATTCTACATAAAAAGTAAGCGCACAGTTTTGTTTTTCTGTGTGTGTAGAATTTAAATAAGTTGTGTGTGTTCAGATGGGGCTGCTGCACTGGGTAGTTTTATTATAACTAAAAGTAGTGATGCTTCCAGACAAGTGTAATGTAATTGTAGAAGTCAGTAAATAATATCTTAGTGTTTATAAGGTGAAGCAGCTTTTTGTTTATTACTATTATATACACAGCATCCTCAAAATTCAGCAACAAAAATGCAGCGTTACCATAGCAACAGCATCCGGTTGCATTTTCCTCCTCCTGGATACACATCCTGGAGCCGCCGCCGTGATTGGACGAGCTCTCTTTGGATGTCACTGGGGCAACCGAATGATGGGAATTTTACCACATGAACGGAAATGTCACCGCTTAATCTCACTGGCTGCCTCCGTGCGGCTCCCATTCAGGCACGAGTGAGGTTCGCAGACAAGCGGAGGCGGCTATTGGACCGTTGGTACATCCGTCTGACGAGGGAGGATCCATACGCTTTTTTTTTTCTTTTTTTTCCTCCCTCTTCCTCTTGCCTCGGTACGGGAGCCGAGCGGGGACCGGCTGGTTACGCAGCGGCCGTGGGTCTCCACCCGAGAGTATGGCGGCTGGAATCGCACCGGAGAGCGGGGGAGCAGCGGAGACACGCCAGAGATGGTGAAAAAGAAAACAAAGAGACGCAAGTTGTGCTTTTAAGTGTCCAGCAGGCTTTTTTTTTTTTTTTTTTTGGCGCTTGCGTTTTTCCCCGAGGCGGCCCGGAAAAATTTGCGCCTGCAGTTCATTCCGGGGCTAACCCAGCGTTTTTCCTCTCTCCCCCCCCTCAGTGTCCTCGATGGAGCAAGTTTGTTTTTTTTTTTTTCCTGTATGATGAACAGAGATGGGGGTGAGCTAAGCAGATGAAAACCAGCACGGTCCACATCATCATCTTCCTCCTCCCTTGTGCACAATTTTTTTGGACATTTGCGGTCCTCGGATGCTCGTCTAGCTGTCAGTGTCTGGCCTTGCATGGGGGAATTTCTACAATGAAATCCATCTTGGGGCACCGAGTCTTTGTGCTCTGCCATAGCTGAGCAGCGGCAGCAGCGAGCGGCGGCGGCGGAGGAGAGCAAGACCGTGTTATTGACAAGAGAGAAAAAAAAAATGGGACGCGAATGGTGACTGCGATTCGTGCGTGGAGCGTTTTTTGGGTTCGTTTCAATGACGCGCGGAGATTGATCCCTTTACTGACTTGATTTCCACAAAAAAAAAAAAAAAAAAATCCCACGATGCGCGAGTATAAAGTGGTGGTCCTGGGCAGCGGTGGGGTCGGGAAATCCGCCCTCACCGTGCAGTTTGTCACCGGGACGTTCATTGAGAAGTACGACCCCACCATAGAGGATTTTTACCGCAAAGAGATCGAGGTGGACTCCTCGCCCTCGGTGCTGGAGATCCTTGACACCGCCGGCACCGAGCAGTTCGCCTCCATGCGGGACCTGTACATCAAAAACGGCCAAGGATTCATATTGGTCTACAGCCTTGTCAACCAGCAGAGCTTCCAGGACATAAAGCCGATGAGGGATCAGATCATCAGAGTCAAAAGGTTGGTGGAAGGAATGATGTTGTTGTTGTTTAGTGTTTGTAAGTGATTGTTTCTCACACATGTTTTTGCTGGCCTGATGGGCCCTGTGGTTTCAGGATGGGCCGAGGCCTGGTCTGAGAACTGGGAGATGCTGTGCAGACTACACAACAACAGTCTATTTTGGTGATACCTGCCCTCACCTCTCAGTTCTCACAGGTAGTCAGATCCTCTCACTCTGCTGCCTCATGCATGAGTGTTTCCTCACACTTTTCCCCCTACTTTAACAAGACTGTCTACAAAAAAAAAAAGAAAACACACAACTCTGCCAAGTTGCTGTGTTTGTGGCAGCTTGAACGTCCACTCACTGTGCCGGATGCTGCAACCTCAGTGAAACACCCAGCCGGGAATACCCAGGATTCAGTGCAATGCAGAGAGCTTCAAGGAGCCACAGCAGCTCCAAGTAGTTTTTGTTGAAGAAGAGGGTTTTTTTTTTTTAAATTAACAAGCTCCTTAGGAAGACTGGAGACGTCTGCTGCTACGATCCAGATGTGAAGTTGATTGATACGTGGGAGAGGTTAGCTGAGGCTGCGTGGATGTTATTGCAGCATACAGGTGATGTTGGTTCACCTGCTGCCACCACATCACACCATAGCGTCCAGTTAATGCTGTCAGAGATGCAGCTGCTTAAGTGACCACCGGCTCAGTTTCTGCGCTGCACTGATCAGTCGCTGCAGGTGTCAACGGATGCGTTACAGTCGGTTTAGGGAGTCCAATAGACTCCAGAGGGAAACGCCGGCCTAATGAAGAATTTACAATCGGCTCCCAGCTCGTACTCTTCACTGATACAAGTAATTACTTTAGATAATGTCCAGCATCAGGATAGTGCAGCCGTATCATGTTTTAGTGTTTCTGTGTTGCTGCCAGTGCCAATTCACGTCCCACTCTGCCACCTACGAACCCAATCACAGTGAAGATGTTTATTTGTCTTGGCTGCCTTTTTAGTTTTTTGTCACTTCATTTGGACTTTTCCAACTGCACCTTCCCATCAATCCCGTGAAGACTCCGGATGAAAGAATGAGGCCAACATGTTTCCCCCCCTCCTCTCTCCAGTATGAGGTGGGAAGAGGTATGTTCAGCCGAGAGCGTTGTGTGTTTACATGTAAATATGTGCGCTCACACAGCAGATGCAGCCAGGCTGTTATGTGATTTCACACCTAACACCGAGTCTGGTGCTGTTTTCTAATATCGCAGCGGAATTCATTTCTCTGTGGCGAAAACATCACACTCGGCACGCTACTCCTACACAGCGGTTCGTTTGGGAGCCCCGCGCTTCACGTGGACTCGGTCGGGGCTTGCGTTGGAATCAGAGGTCACGGAGAGTCTTGAAAGTCAGGTCTGCGATTCACGTTTCGCCTGCAGTTCTCCTTAAACTGTTCTGAACGAGCCTACATGTGTTTTCTTTGGTTGCTCAGGTAGATTCAGTCCAGTTGTGCAGAAGGAATTTGAGGCGGGAGCAGTTTGCTGTTTGTTTGCAGACTTTTCAAACATACAGCAGAGAAGTTCCTGAAAAGCTTTGGTCGACTGCAGGTACTTCTAAGGTTGTAAATGCACCGTATATGGTAAACTCAGCTCATACTACACAGAGGCTGGTGGGTGGCCTGATACGGACAAGAAACGACAAGACTGTAGGTACATAGGTGTGGTTTCTTCCTATTTAGAGAAAAAAGAAGCACATTTTTTGTGCAAAAAAGACAACTTACAGAAGTCACATTTCTATATTCTGCTATCAGTGATCAGCACAGGGAACACATTTGTCTTTCTCGACACGTGTGACGACACTTTTTTGCTGCTAAATGTAAGAAACAAACAGATTATCTCGCGATTGTACCGAGCAAATTACCCAAAATTCTATCAGACTCTCAATCCTCGTTGTCTTTTGTTTGTGGGAGTAAAACACAGACAACTCTTGAGTGGTTCACTAATTTGCACTGAATTTCAACAATTACACAGCAAGAAACCCTCGATCAGAGGCGGTAAATTGACAATTTATGCACAGATAGTTGTTCTTAATGCAGCATCAAGACATGTTAGACAATTCTTTCCCGACTAAATGATTGTGTTGTTATTACAGTCGGAAATGCAACAAGTTCAGGAGGGCTCTGTGGGGCTGGTTGGAGGGCATCGGGGGAATTGTTGGACATAACTACCTGTAGAATGAAAAGACGAAGTAGTTTTAAACATAAAAAAGAAGAAACGTATCAAAACTAAATGCACTAACGGAGACTGATGAGAGCAAATCATGATAACAGAAGGAAAAAGGGATATTTAAGATGATTGTAATGGTTACAGGTGTCAGATTTTATTTGGTCAACAACTGTACGAAAAGTGAGTTTGTGTTGGCCTCAGCAAGTCGGATTGTTTCTGCGTTTCGCCCGTCCGTCCCTCCTCGCTGCCAAAACACTGATGACCCGTCACGACCATATCGGCGTTCGCTCAGGTCAGAGGCGCTGCTGTGCGTCGCTCTCACTCTGAACCCTGTCAGCATCTATCAGTGGCTGCTGATAGCGGCGCAGACAGGCTTTAGCGCGGAGGCCACGGGTGCACATGATTACGCCCCGGCCCGCCTGTGTCAGCCGGGGACCTCATCGCTCCTCACTTCAGCCGCAGTTAAGTACACACCAGGGATGTGTTGTGATTGGTGATTTAACACGGCATTTAAATAGAAGAGGCACGGCCAGAGGAGAGTGAAGAAGAAAGAGGTGAAACAGGGTGCCATGATAAACCTTACTGTCCTGCAGTGCTGTTGTTGTTGTTCAGGGTATATCTGCACTTTTTTTATTAAACACTTATACACTCACGTTAACTTTAAGTGACAGTGCATGTGTGCTACGGCTCACCAACTGAGGAATTATCATTTCAAGGCTTGTTTGTATGCCAGCTGCTTAAAAGGCTCAAGATTAGAAGTAGCACGACTCTCCCAGTTTGACCAGATGTCTCTGTCTATTGTGAAAACTGGCCAAATAAACAGAGCTAAAGGTCGGCCATGATTACTTCACAGTCGACTGGGCAGAGTTATGTGTTAAAGGCCCTTCGCCGTGGGCTGTTGTTCAGACCCCCGCAATGAACATTTCTGAAAGACCAACAGGTTGTTTCTGCTCTGCTTTGAGCGTCTGTGGGCTTGGTCTGGACTGAAACATCACAGCAAGTACTGGATTTATTGTGCTAAGAACTGGATGATGACAGTGATCGCTGGACGTGAGGCTGTGAGTTTGAGTGAAATACAGAATTTAAGGAAATAGTGTCCCAGTAGAGAACTGATCCACCACATGCTGCCAGAACAGCTTCATTGCTACATGGCTTTGATTCTGTTTGTGTCTCTACTGGAGGAAAGAACACCATTCTTACAAAAGAGATTCCCTCATTTAGGGTTTTGATGATGGTGGTGGTAGAGAGCGCTTTCTAACATGTCGCATATCTTCCATCGGTGTTCAATTTGGTTGAGACCTTGGGACTGTGAAGGCCATACATCATGGTCGTACTCATCAGTGACCCCTCCATGGACGGGGATAGTGAGAACACTCCCATCAAGATTGAAATGTTTGATAGCAGGATAAAGATGATCACTCAGTACAACTTTCTATTGATTTGCAGTGATCCTTCCCGCCGAGGTGATAATTGACTCCAAATCATGGCCTCCGACAGCACAACAGAGCCATCGGATCCCCTCAGTGTAGTGGTCACAAGTTAATGTTTGTCTTATTATTTGTCTATCTCTGGAAAGCTAATAAGAATATTGCCTTAAAAGTTGGTTCAGACATTCAAGATGAACAATAGTCACTTTTCATCCGGCTTCATTCTCGTGTCAGACATGTTGATTCATGACTAAATTCTGGCATGACATTTACATCATATATACAGATTGTAAGCCAACACACTGTTGCTGCCTTGGCCCCAAAAATCCAGTATGGGTCAGACTCTAACATCTAATAATAATAATATCTATCTAATATAACTGCCATTACACTCAGGTTGCCGCGCTACCTTTTGCATTCAGCTTAAACCACCGCTGTGTCTAAACCTTACAGTTGGTGTTGTCGACTCTCGTTAAGGATTATCTTATTAGCTAATGATGACACGCAACATGAGCAAGAAAAGCACGTTAATCATCCAACACGGTGTTCAATAATTCCTCAAATGCAGAGAGGAGCTGATGCCACACAAACACAAGTTCCTCTTAAGTAAAAGCAAGCTCGGTGAACTCAGCAGCAAAAAAAATAAGCAGCTGGGAAGCCAGTTCATCTTCCACTAGCGCAAAATCCAGCCTTCCCCAGTAAACATTAAAGGCCTTTTTGATAAAGAATGTAAACATCTCTCCTGCTCTCAGCTTCCACAGAGGCCACGACGCAGCAGGAGATGAACAGCCAGGCCGGCAGCTAAGCTGGCAGGTTCTCCTTTGCACTCACTATATGTGTTACATTATACAGTATGTTGCATTACAGCTCCAGCCACCGCCCCCACCACACGGTCCCACCACCTTCAAAGGAGAGCGCAAACCTCCAGGGAGCCGTGACGTTTCTCAAGCGATAAGCAGTTCCGTTTTATCCAACAGTTGCATGCATGTCTTCACTAAACTAATTTCTGAGTAAAGCAGCAGTACTGTTTTAAGTTTAATTTGCTCCGTGTTAGTCTCTTGTATATATCACACCTCATAAACTATGATCCCACACCTCCCGTAAGATACTACACCACCTGGTAGACTAAACTTCTTGTATAAACATTGGAGAAGTATCCCTTCAGCTGAAGTATGTTTTTCCAGATACAAAGCATATTTATTCAGTGATTTAAATTTAAATCCACCAGCCACAATATTAAAAGCACTTACAGGTGAAGTGAGTAACATTGATTATACTGTTACAATGGCACCTGTCACGAGGTGGAATATATTAGTCAGGAAGTTAACAAGATGATGTGTAGGAAGAATGAAAAAATCGACAAGCGTAAGAGTCTGAGCGAATCTGACG